TTTGTTCTTTCTTGTGTTTTTGGTTGGCTAATCGATAATGAAGGGTAGATAAAGAAAGAGTACAAAAACCCAAAAGTTTTTTTATTTTTTTATTTTTTTTATTTTTTTTTTCTTTTTTCTTTTTCCCTTTGCAGTGTGATTCAACTGAATTTTCCTGCTCATGCTCGTACTACTTCATCTTGATTGTTTGGCTTTGTTTATTGTTCATAAGTTTAGTATGTTCAGTTGGGCTCTTTTTCAGTTATTAAAATTATTCATTTTTCATCTGAAGCAGAAGTAAGAAACAGAAACTATGATGGTCAGCGGTCTAGGATCTGTGTTGGAGGGGTTTGGAGGTTCGAGCTCTGAACCTGATCAGGCGTCGGTTGATTCCATAACGCTATTCGTTACGCTACTCTGTGCTTGTATTGTGATTGGTCACCTACTTGAAGAAAATCGATGGATCAACGAGTCGATAAATGCTCTTTTCATAGTAAGTAATCATCTCTAATTTGGGCTTTGAAGGTGCCAATGGAATGCTTACTAGGATTTATAATTCTTGTTGTTGTTGTTGTACTATTATCATTATCTCATATGGTATATTGTTTTGTTTATCACAAATTCTGATGTTAGGCTGTCTAACAATACGTTCGTAGAACAAAAATCGATACTTATATCCTGAAATATCTTGCTTCAATTTATGTTGTTTTTTGAAGTATGACATTGTTTATCTACATATGTGATGTGTTATGTTGGTTCAGCTATGTTGTAAATAAAAGAATGACGTATTGGTGGCAGGGTTTGGGTACAGGAGTAATATTACTTTTGGCGTCTAAAGGAGGGAACTCACGAATCCTGGTATTCGATGAAGAGCTCTTTTTTATATATCTCCTGCCACCTATTATTTTTAATGCTGGGTAAGTCGTATGTATATCTTTCAAGCTTTCTCTTTGATTGTTTTTAAGGTCTGGTGATCCCCTTTGCATTTTTTGTGCCACTTGAAGAAGTAATAGGTCGTAGTTGTTTACCTTTTGAGTTGAAATGGTGAAACTCAGGAAATATTCAAATTTGTTTCCCTTTTTCTTGATAGTGTTAATAGTAGGGGAAACAAATTCTGAGAGTACCTTTTTTTTTCTTTATGTTTTATGTTTTTTACCAGGTTCCAGGTGAAAAAGAAACAATTTTTCAGGAATTTCATGAGTATTACGTTGTTTGGTGCTGTTGGGACAATGATATCCTTCAGCATCATATCATTTGGTACTTCTTATCTTTTTATCGGATATTGATACGCAATGAATTTTAGTGAATGCTGCTTACATTATAACTTTGTTCTTATATGAGTGTAAAAATTGCAATTATCTCCTTTTAGTTTTAGCTAATTATAACTGGGAACTTTAAGAGAAGTATGCTTTTCTGCAACAATGATAATAATATAAAAAAAATAATAAGAATAATATCACAATTATCAAGTTTTGGCCAATTCACACACATGCGTTAGTATCTTAGTATAGGTCATTCTTAAAGCGTTACCAGGTCAGGCTGGACATTTATTTATTTCTGTAAAATCTCGCATTCTGCCTGTTGTTCAGCCGCTGCCTCAACATTTGTTTGTTCTGTTTTATGGCTTGCAACTTAGCACAAAACTAACTTTGGTCTCTGACCATATCAGGTGCAAAACTGTTATTCGAGACTTTGGATATGGGTTATCTAGAGCTTCGAGATTATCTTGGTAGGTGGTTCCTCTTCACAGCTCATTGTTCTTTTTTTTTTTTTTTTGGCAATATTTTCATAGATTTCTGTTTGACCACTAACTATGCCCTCCATTTTCCTGCCACGTGGAAGGCAAAACTTGATACTTGACAGAACACTAGTAGGTTAACCAGAAAAGAATTTCTCCATTCTTAATAAAGCTAGCTCGATGGAAACATGTGGATGTGTGCCTATATGACTAGATTGGGTTTGAGCAATGATATTGCCTATATGTCATGTCTATTTCTTATGTCCTGAAACCTAAAATAATCTAGATCATCTCTCAAAATTGTACAAGTGAATTTTCCGTTGAGGTAACACTGTGTAAACATTTTACCTTTGCGCCTACTCAGGCCTATGTGTCAAGTTATGCTAGATAAATTATCAGTCTCTCTCTCTCTCTCCCTCAGTTGAATCTTGTTTGATATATTGAATAATGATCACATCATTTTGCAGCTATTGGGGCTATCTTTTCAGCTACAGATTCTGTGTGCACTTTGCAGGTGTGAATAAATTTGCAATACTCATTTTGTTCTTTACTAGAAGCTGAAACCGATTTCTGACAAGCTAAAGGGCTGGGAACCATATTGTTGACCTGATTGACAGGTTCTTAATCAGGATGAGATGCCTTTGCTCTACAGTTTAGTGTTTGGCGAAGGTGTGGTGAATGACGCGACTTCTGTGGTGCTCTTTAATGCAATTCAGAAATTCGGCCTTTCAGATCCCGACTCGAAAATTTTCTTGAAATTTGTTGGCAATTTCTTCTCTCTATTCGTAGCCAGTACCCTTCTTGGGGTTTTGGTAAGTTTTCTCCTAATTTATTCTGCTCGCCATTGCATGCATGGGTCCTGTCGAATTTCGTACTCCTAAATTTTAAGAGGGAGAAGAAGATTTTGAGAATTCCCCACATCTTTGTCTTATAGATGTTTGATTTGTTATCACTATCTTCTCTTTTCATCTTTCACAAGAACTTTGGCGAATTTGTATAAACAGCAAGTTCGCCCTGTTTAAATCTTTTTCTTTTTGACTGATAAATGCAGATTGGATTGCTTAGTGCCTACATTATCAAAAAGTTATACTTTGGAAGGTACGCATAGTTTGCTAACTTGTTTGGCCTTAAATTTTTGCACTAGAATTCAATTTTTTTCTATTTTTTTGGATCAAGCAGAAGTTGATGTACAATTTCCTTTATAGATCTGGATGCCCTTCTAGTGGCTTTTATGCATTCGATTTTTTTAGTGCTAGAAACTTAAAATGGGCTAAATTAAACAGAGGATTGTACGGCTTCCCATGCCAGTGTTGAAAACAATTACTACTGGAGATATTTGTGCTAACATTTGAATTCCATTCAGGCATTCAACCGATCGTGAGGTCGGTTTAATGATTCTCATGGCCTACCTTTCGTATATTTTAGCTCAGGTTCATTTTACTTCTTTTCTAACATGTATTTCCACAATAAGTCTTTAACCATGGACTCGGTAAATCAATAGTTACTATTACTGACCATATCACTGTTCTCATCTTGCAGCTCTGTGACTTAAGTGGAATTCTTGCTGTATTTTTCTGTGGAATTGTTATGTCGCATTACACCTGGCATAATGTCACAGAGAGTTCTAGAGTTACTACCAAGTAAGGAGCCTAGTAAAGAAATAGGGAAAAAAAATAATAATAATAAAAAGAAAGGAAAAGGAAGGAAGATTTGGCATAAAATTAATAAAAAACTTTACGTGTATTCTTGTTTCTTGCAGGCATGCTTTTGCTACATTATCATTCATTGCAGAGACATTTATCTTCCTTTATGTTGGCATGGATGCATTGGACCTTGAAAAATGGGAGCTCGTGAGCAACAGGTACGAAGGAGGAAATCATTCTTGGTTTTTATCTTCTATAAAATATGTTTAAAGATCTTTTAATGTTGTACTCATTTTCACTTTATTTATGAATTTTTTTCATAATAGTCCCTGTTTTATTCCTCTTGTGAAAATCTCTGCAGCCCGGGGAAATCTATTGGTTCAAGTGCAGCTCTATTTGGACTAGTCATGGTTGGGAGAGCATCGTTTATTTTTCCCCTCTCCTTTTTGACAAACTTTGCTAAGAAGTCTAAGGGTGAAAAACTCGATTTGAAACAGCAGGTGAATAATAGATTAAAGAAAAACTTTGCTAAGAAGTTTCTTAGTCAAAGTTTGCTAAGAAGCAAGCAAACTCTGATAAACCTTGCTAAGAACTTTTTGTTTCTTAAATATACAGTTTTGTATTTAGGTGAATAATAGATTGAGAAAAATAATACAAAACCACAGGTTACAATATGGTGGGCTGGTCTTATGCGAGGTGCTGTTTCGATGGCGCTTGCTTACAATCAGGTGAAAAATTTAGAGGAGATTTTTTCCCGCCCAAAATCTTGTAATGATTATACTAAAACAAGAGAAACCTGACTTTGTGTGCATTTGCAGTTTGCGAAATCTGGGCACACGATGCAGCCGGGGAATGCAATCATGATTACATGCACGATCACTATAGTACTTTTCAGCACGGTGGTACGGAACATCCTAAACTTCTTTCAATTGTTCAAGCACTTCTCTAAAATGGCACACATGTTACTCAACCAGGATAATTTTTGTTTTCAACCTGCAATATGTTTCGTAAAACTAGTTGATTATAGCTTAGCTTATAAGTGAATTTCAAGCTTATAGTTTGATAGCTTATGGATGAAAAAATAGCTGATATGATAAAAGTATTTGGTAAAATTAGTCCAGATGAACTAAAATTTTCAATGAGATTATTTGAAAAACTACCCAAAGAAATTTGTGAGATAAGCTCGAAAAAGTTCGTCTTATCAAACCAAGCTTATTTGTCTACAGAAAACTTATAAGCTAACTAAATAAGCTATAAGCTAGCTTATGGTGCTTACAAACACACTCTAACACTAGTCTGTGAGGTTTGTCAAATATAATAATTTTTATAACCCATATGATAGAATCATACAACAATACAATTGTAGTGCTCCGTTTCTTTTCAACTAAATCATAGCGTTGCATCGCTCGACTATTTTAGAATCTCGTTTGTGCCTTGTATGTTAAGTGTTTATTTGTGCTTAACTGTAAGTTATTTTGTTTAATTGAATTATGTGATTATGTGAATTAATTGCCTAATTGAATTATGTGATTATGTGAATTATTTACCTAATTGAATTATGTGATTATGTGAATATTTTCTTTAGTGAACTAAGTGAACTATGTGATTATGATTTATTTTCTAAGTGAATATGTGCTTTTATGATTACTTGTCTAAGTTTGATTTAATTGCCATAGTTATTCTATGATTCCCGGCTCAAATAGTCATCACCTAGCCATTTAATCTCGGCCTACTGCATTATTATTTGTCAACACATCAATTTGGCCCAAGTCCTGGCTCAAACTACATTTCTCTTTGAGTAGATCAAATCTCGAGCAACATCCCATTTCTCCATTCCCTCAGTAGCGTCGACGAGGCCTTTTATATCAATCACATCCAGCAATTTCGGCCGGGCCCAAAAATCACCAACGAATTTTCCCTGAAATCCGGCCAACTCATCCACGACTTCTCCTTTACCCAGCCCTAATTCTCCCTTTATTTAAACACCGAAAGCCGTTAATACCCTCAGTCGTCCCTCGAACAATTCCAATTTTTATTACCAACTCCTTAGTCACCTCCCTTCAGCAGCGGATCGCCGGCGACCGAGAAATTCCTCCGGGAGGAGATTTGAGCGCACCCAAGCCGCGACCTGGAGCCACATATTCTCTCTTCGTTCCAGTGTCGCGTCGTCCGTGAGTCTCATCGGTGTTTGGTGATTTCAAGAGCACGCCCGACTTCCGGCGAGATAGCACCCCCGGCCGGAACAGAACCCCGCGGTTGACGAGCGGGCACCTTTTGGTCGCAATTGAGGCACCAGACGCGGACGAGTCGAGCACCCCACGACTGAGACAGGACCGAACACGCAGTCGAGAGCCACCAGTTGTCGGCAAATCGAACAGCACTTGCCGGTGGAGAGCAGGCTAAATCATAGCTGGAGAGCTGAGAGCAGACCCTTTCGGTCGCATCTGGAACCAAAGTTCCCGGCAACAAGGTACAACCGAGAGTCACCGTATTTCCGACGAGTCCGAATCGTGCACCACCACGACTGAGAGCAGGCCTAACCGCGGTCGAGAAGTAAGGGCTTCCAGCAGAGCCCGAGAGCGAGCCCGTCCTTCTTGTTTCTTAAGCCGAGTGAGGTATATAGCTGCTCCTTTTAGCATTCAAAATGGCCGAGAATATATGTTTTGTATGGTTTAGTTCATTTTTATAGGATTTTGTTTCAGCAGACTTGAGTTTAAGAGTTAAGGCTAAAGAGAGAAATTTATGATTTGTTTTAGTTGTGTTATTTATATTGCTGAAACTGAGTAGTTATCAGGGTATTATTTTCGGTTTTGAGGATAATTATGTGTTGCTTTGAGTTTAGGAAAAGAGTAGAGGAAAAGTGAGATACTGGTTGTTGTTTTAGGCTTGAAGTTGAAGAGATAAATGAAATGGTTCTTGTGTGGTTTGGCTGAGTAGTTTCCCTTGTTTTGCTGCACATTATTATTAGTTATACATGCTGAAGGTTAAGATATGCCAGAGTTTTAATTTCTGTTGTAAAAGTGTTTATTTGTGTTGTTTAATGTTTGAGGAAAAAAGAAAAGAAAAGAGCCCTTGGTGTGGGGTTTTTACCATGCTTCTATATGTTATTTGGTTGAGTTTTATTTCGTTGATTAAGCATACTTTAGTTTGTTGAGAAAAGAGGAGGCTGAATTGTGTTCATTTATATTCTCAGCCAAATTAAAGCATGCTTAATCAACAAATTAAATTATGCTTAATCACTGAAATAAAACTCAGCCAAATAACATATAGAAGTATGGTATAAACACCACACCAAGGGCTCTTTTCTTTTCCTTTTTCCTCAAACATTAAACAACACAAAACTTTGGCATATCTTAACCTTCAGCATGTATAACACATAATAATGTGCAGCAAAACAAGGGAACCTATTCAACCAAACAACACAAGACAATTCATTTATTTTTTCAACTTCAAGCCTAAAACAACAACCAGTATCTCTCTTTTCCTTTACTCTTTTCCTAAACTCAAACAACAATTAATCATTCCTCGAAAATAATACCCTAATAACTACTCAGTTTCAACAATATAAACAACACAACTAAAACAAATCATAAATTGATCTCTTTAGCCTCAACTCTTAAACTCAAGCCTGCTGAAACAAAATCCTATAAAAATGAAACTAAACCATACAAAACACATATTCTCGACCATTTTGAATGCTAAAAGGGGCAACTATATACCTCACTCAGCTTAACAAACAGGAAAGACGGTCTCGGGCTCTGCTGGAAGCCCTTACTTCTCGACCGCGGTTAGGCCTGCTCTCATTCGCGGTGGTGCACGATTCGGACTCATCAAAAATACGGTGACTCTCGGTTGTACCTCGTGCCAAGGTTCCAGATGCGACCGAAAGGGTCTGCTCTCCAGCTATGATTTCAGCCTGCTCTCGTCCACCGGCAAGGGCTGCTCGACTTGTCGACAACTGGTGGCTCTCGGATGTGTGTTCGGTCTTGTCTCAATCGTGGGATGCTCGACTCGTCCGCGCTAGAAATTTGGTGCCTCAATTGCGACCAAAAAGGGGCCCGCTCGTCAACCGCGGGGTTCTGTTCTGGTCGGGATTGCTATCTCGCCGGAAGTACGTGCTCTTGAACTCGCCGGGATGCCTCAAAATGCCGATGAGACTCACGGACGACACGACACTGGAATGAAGAGAGAATATGTGGCTCTAGGTCGCGGCTTGGGTGTGCTCAAATCTAGGAATTTCTCGGTCGCCGGCGATCCGCTGCTGAAGGGAGATGACTGAGGAATTGGTAATAAAAATTGGAATTGTTCGAGTGACGGCTGGGGTATTGACGGCTTTCGGTGTTTAAATAAAGGGAGAATTAGGGCTGGGAAAAGGAGAAGCCGTGGGTGAGTTGGCCGGATTTCAGGGAAAAATCGTTGGAGATTTTTTAGGTTGGCCGGAATTCCTGGAGGTGATTGGTATAAGGCCTTGTCGACGCTACTGAGGGGAAGGAGAAATGGGATGCTGCTTGAGATTTGATCTACTCAAAGAGAATTGTTGTTTGGGACAAATTTGATGTATTAAAAAAATAATAATGCAATAAGACTTTAGAAATCATGGTGTGTTCAATTTAGAATTGTTAAGACTTTTAAAAATCCTGGGTATTCAATTGGGATTTTAAAAAGTTTTACAAAATTCTGAGGTATTTAATTTATTTGACACTAGGATTTGTTAAGACTTTTTAAGATTTTGTGGGATTCCTAAACAAAAAACTTTATACGAAATCCTACTTTAAATCCCACCTCCAGACTTAGGATTTCATGGAATTTCTCCAAAATCTGGAAATCCTAACAAATCTCAAATCTTAAAGTCTCAAAATGTCACTTGAAATCCCAATTGAATACACAATCAAACTTAGACAAGTAATCATAAAAGCACATATTCACTTAGAATATAAATCACATAATTCACTAAAGAAAATATTTCACATAATCACATACTTCAATTAGGTAAATAATTCACATAATCACATAATTCAATTAGGCAATTAATTTATATAATCACATAATTCAATTAAACAAATAACTTACAGTTAAGCACAAACACTTAACGTACAAGGCACAAACAAGATTTTAAAATAGTCGAGCAATGCAACGCCATGATTTAGCTGAAAAGAAACGGGGCACTACAACAATTGCATATCAATCATCAATACTAATTGTTAATTAAAATTGAAAGATATTGTCAAATACTTATTGGTGAATCGGTGACACGTGTCACAACACACGATAGCATAACTTTTAATCACATTAATATATATATATATATATATATATATTAATTTTTATTATAACATTGCATATGATTGGTAGATACATTTATATTTCAATTACGATATTGTTGTAGCAAATTTTATTTACCCGAGTACTGAATCAAAGGATTCGTCCCCCGAGTCGATCTCTCGAGGAAGACGGTTCGGAATCTAGAGTCGGTGTTTATTGCACACAAAAGAAAATAAAGCCTGAACACGATTAGGGTTTACTATCAACTAGGAAATAGCATAACATGCATAAAACAGAAATCAACTAAAAAACATGAATCAAACAATGATGATGAAGTTAGGAAATCAGGGATAATCGTTTTGGTTCGAAACACAATTAACGGACAAGCGATCGTTCAATTAAAGGATTCAAATAACATACACGTTCAGAGATTTATTCTCAATAACTTTTAGTAACAAGAGAATAAGCATGAACGGCAAATTAACGAGTCATATAACACATAGGCAATACTTTTACGAACAAGCCTATCTTATGCGAGCCTAGATCGATCGATTCCTTCCCTTTCGGTTAATCTAAGAGTCGATTAAAATATACTAGAACGAGGGTAATCGACTAGTCTATTAGCATTGAAATAATCACACGAGAATAAATCATATTCAATTGGAAACCAATCATAAATTAAGTGAATAAATAATATTCAATTGGAAACCAATCTGGTAACACAAAACTCCATATGAAGATCAACATTCATATGAAGATCAAGAACCCTAATTTCAAATTAACTCCCATAAATTGAACGATTCAACAAGAACGACATCACAATCAAATCCAAAATATCATCCCTATCCCTAGCAAATCAGATTAGTTACTTATATTGAATTCAACCAAATCAATCACAGCAATCAAAGCAATCATATTCACGGATGAAATGAATAGAAAAACTTACAATTAAAACGGAATTGAGAGTTGAATCTGAAATGCAAGACTAATCCGAAAGCTATGAAGAAATCCAAGTGAAAAACTAGATCAAGTGAAAAACTAGGGTCAGAGAAGGGGAAAAAACGAGTTTGGGGGATTCTCTCTGGTCTGGGTACGAGTTTCAATGCAAAGTACTCGTAAAGGCGAACAAAATCAAGTTTTTAAAAATCTGGTGACGACCTCCGCGGCTGCGTGGAGCTCCGTGGCCGCGGGATTTCAGCTTCAGAAGTGCTCCGCGGCTGCGGGATTTCTCCCGAGGCCGCAATGAAGAAAACTGGGCTGCTGCGCGCGACTTTATGTTTCGGGCTCGTTTGAGCTCGTCCGAACTCGGAATTGAATTCTGTTTTCTCCTACGTCCAACGGACCCTTCTATATAACTAAGATCACAAAACCATTTTTTGCTTCTGTAGACATCGAAATTTTAATATTTTATTAATTAATGTCTTTATTTATTTTTGGGACATAAATCTAAGATAAATAAGATATTTAATTAATAAAGTAATTGTTTCTTGCCCACCAAGTCAAACCTTAGGATAAGAAAAGAGATTATATCAAATCTTAGGATAAGGAAAGAGATTATATCAAATCAAGAAGGATCAATCAAATTGATGTCTTCTTTTCCAAGACTCTCTCCTACAGCTATAAATAGGGCTCTTCTCAATGCCACAAATCACACCTCATACACATCTCAAAAATTAAAGTTTAAATTCAAGAGCTCTCAAGACCCCTCTTGAAGATTTGAAGAAGTTCTTGAAGAACCGCCCGAAGTCCATTCAATAAAGAAGAAGGCCAAGAAGAAGAAAAAGAGGCGGTGACTCTTCCCCAAGAAATAAAGAGACGACTTCTACACCTCTCAAGTTAATCCAAGAATATCAACGACGTTCAGGCGACATTCTAGCCCCGTTCGTTGAGAAGTTCAACCAACATAGCGTTTTATTTGAGAAAAAAACTATCAAGCCCTCGAGTCAACGTTATTCAAGTCAAAGTCCCTCTTTCGAGAAGATCAAAGAAACAAGTTCTTCAAAAAGTTGTCTTCAATCAAGTCAAGGCCTAACATTTACGGGAATAAGTCATTCGATCCCCAAATTAATGTTAGAGAAATTTAAGACCAAGCCCGAAGGAGGTTCAATCGTCAAATTCATATTTCAAGATCTCAAGCCCAAACCCATGAAGAGAAGAATCTGAAGAGAGAAATAGAGATTGTACCCGCATTATCGTTTGATCGAAATATATTCAAGTTGTACAAAAAGTTTTATGTTTTCCATAAAATTTGTTGTTACAACTTCAAATCATTTCCGCCCGAAGCTCCCGACCTGCACACTAAAAACGTGCTTCGCCATACTTCGCATTTTGGGCTTGTTTGAGATCGTCCGAACTCGAAATTGAGTTCCGCTTTTTTCTACTTGTCGCCAACGAGCCTTTCTATATACTTATGCTTGCACGGAAAACTTATTCTTGAAATCCTATCCGCCCGAAGCTTCAGACCTGCACACGAGAAACGAAAACAAAAACGGAGAAAACCGAAAAACGAAAGAAAAACACGAAAAAACTCAAAATGAAGGAAAACACGCAATAAACTACAAAAAAAATTAAAAACAAACGAAACGACCTAAAGCGAAGGAAAAATAAAGGTAAAATAACAACGAAAAATACAACAAAAATGTGACAAACAGATATTAATGATTTTGTTTAGTTTTTTCATCCACCACGATTCATTAATAAATTTTTTTTTTCACTATGAAAATATGAATATCAAACTTAAAGATTGTCAAAAGATAATTAATTTGATATGTCGTAAATGAAAAATACATGACAAATCATACCTTATCAAGTTATACAAAATAATAACAAATCTTTATATTAGCTTATCTTTTTCATAATTGTAGAACTCTCAATCCTATATGAATATCCCAACTTATTTCAAAGTATAAACTGTTGACATGTAGGAGCACGAAACATAAAGCTCTCTAGATTCTTGAACTCTTGTAAATTTGACTGAAAATAAAACAGCATGCTAAGTGTTATGCACAAAATTCCGGATTACATTTGAAGTTGTTGAGCTAGCTTTGTGATTCGAACGTCACGGTTACTTTCATTTCATAATGAACTAATTCTTGGGGAAGGAATTAAGTAAGCGATGAAAAGCTATGTTTGTGTTCAGGTGTTTGGACTGTTAACTAAGCCTCTGGTGAGGCTGCTCCTACCTCCATCAGACAATTTATCCGAACCATCGAGTCCAAATGCTATTACACTGCCTTTAATCGTAAATGGTGAAGAATCGGGAGATAATGTTGTTGGGCCTAGCAGCCCGTCCAGCCTACGCAGGCTTCTAAACCGTACGGTCCATTATTATTGGAGGAAATTCGATGATGCTTTCATGCGCCCGGTTTTTGGCGGCAGGGGATTTGGTGTATGATAGAAGAAGATAATTAGTAGGGACCAAAAGTAAAGTTTTTTGCAGTTGACACACACCTACACACATATACTGTATTAAATGTGAATTTCAAACACAAAGTATGTACTTTTTAAGTTGAGAATTGATTTTTTTTTTTTTTTAACATTTTCCATGATGGTCTTTTGTTGATGCATAAAATAATTGTATTTTATTCATGGAAGTCGTGTATATAATAAAATTCTAGTTTTCGTATGAAGAGAAATCTTTTTTTTTTTT